TTGTGGTAAACTGTGGTCAATGACATGAGACAAAGTATATGTGAATTGCTGTATAGAAAGTGAATTTGCTCTGTAAATCTTCACCCAAATCACAATTAAAAAAAAAAAAAAAAAAGATTACACACAGTACACTGAGAACAGGTATAGTTTTCTGCATTATTTTAGAATGGGCTCTTAACACTAATGATATTGAAGACACAAACAAAAAGACCCTATGTCTATAAAGTATTAAAGAATTCAAAGCAGTTTTATACTTAGTGCTTACTTGATCTTCACAAGATTTAGTAATAAGTCTAAAACAGGCAAGGCATGGATGATAGAATTTAAATCACTTTCCTTAAGGTACATAAAAGCAAAGTTGGCATGCATCTCTTCCAATTAAGACAAGATTGCCTTCAATTTATTCTCCTCTGAAAATAGAGCCACTGCTTCTAGTTGTGAAAGCAGGCCTCTTCTAGGAGCTGAAATCAATTCCCACTCCAGCTACTCAAAAAGGAAAATCCAGTTGCCACTGGGTCCCTTCCAATTCCTGGTGACCTCATGTGTCAGAGTTGACCTGTGATCCCCAGGGTTCTCAGTGGCTGACTTTTTGGAAGTGGACTGCCAGGGCTTTCTTCTAAGACATCCCTGGGTAGACTCAAACCACCAATCTTCTAGTTAGCAGTCAAGAGTGTTAGTCTCAAAAGAAAGGGTCCTTTTTTTTTTTTTTTTTTTACAAAAAACTGTTGTCTGCTTCTGCTAGCTAAGCTGGGCATGCAAGAAACTACATTAGCTGAGAGAGGGTGCCATTTTCTAAATCACTTAGAGAAACTATATGAAATTAGCAGACCCTTGCGTAGAGTTCTTTTCATATTGTTCTCTTTAAGTGCCCATACTCTGAGAGTTTTACTCTGTCAGTTTACTGAAATACCTACTATTCTCTAGGAAATAAATATTCAGGAAACGTTTCTATGCTTATAAGTATGAGATTAAGGAAAAGACACTTTAATAATTAAGACTATAAAGTTATAAACAAAACAACGTGAAAAGAAAATGGTGCAAAACCTCTAGTTCCTTCTCTTTCATATCCAGTTCTCGTTTCTTTTTATTTAATGTATCCATGTGTTCTTTTTGTTTGTCTTCATAATGCCGCTTTCCTCGTTTTTGGTTATCCACTTCAGAATCAGCAAGGTTTAATTCATCCTGTTAAAATAAAGGCAAAAAAATCTAGAAAAACTCTTTAAAGTAAACAAACCAACAAACAACATAGGTTAAAAAACAAAAATTAACCTAATAAAGCAAATTTGATTATGCTGCTTGAAGAGTTCATATTCTTGTCTAAAGAGAAATGAGATTTTCCAAATTTAGAATGACCTTATATTTAAATTCTTACATGATGTCTCACATTACAGTGCTTTCAAACATTCTGATAAAAGTTTTGGGGAAAGTCACAATAGTTTCAAAAGACTTATCATCATGCAAGTGTTGAATATTTACAAAGGTCACCTGAATGAATTGGTTTAAAAAAAGGTATATGAACGAAAGAAATCTGTCATTGAAGACCACATACTGCATGATTCCATTTATATGAAATATCCAGAATAAAGACAGAAAGTAGATGGATGGTTGCCTAGAGGTAGAGTGTAGGGCCAAAGGACTGGGAGGGTCATGGACGAAAAGAACAGAGATTCCTTTGGAGGTGATTACTGGTTACCAGGAGCTGGGGGAAGAAGAGAATGGGAAATGAGTGTTCCCATTGCTAGTAGATGTGGGATTTCTTTTTGAAGTGATGAAAATATTTCAAAAGTAAATGTGGAGCTAGCTGTAAAACTCTATGACTACACTAAAAACCAGTGAATTGTGTATTTTAAATAGATTAAATTTATGTAGACAAAACCGTTAAAAGGAAACACCAAACACCCAGGAACAAATTTAATAAAGACGGACAATACTTCTACTCAAGAAATTATAAGACTTCACTTAAAGAAATTAAAGATCTAAGGAAAAGGATGTATCACCTTCATGGATTGGAAGATTTGATATTGGTAAATGACAGTTCTCTCCAGGAATGTCTAAGATTCCATGCAACTGCAATCAAAATCCCAACAGGCTTTCTTTTTTTAAAATTAAACTTTAATTCTGAGATAACTATAGATTCACATGTGGTTGTAAAACATAAGAGATCCTTTTCACCCTTTAAACAGCTTCCCCTAAGAGCAACATTTGCAAAACTAGACTTAAAATATTACAACTAGGATGCTAACATTGATATGGTCAAGATATAGAACATGTCCATTCTCACAAGTATCTCTCAAGCCGCCTGTTAGGTCACACCCACTTTTCTCATGTCCTATCCCTTGCTTTGTTGTTGTCGTTATGTGCCGTCGAGTCGGACCCAACTCATAGTGACCCCTCCTTGGGTTTCCCAGTATCACTACGGAAGTAGATTGCCCAACCTTCCTTCCGAGGAGTGGCTGGTGGGTTTGAATCGCCAGCCTTCTGGATAGCAGTCAAGTGCTTTAGGCACTATGCTACCAGAGCTCCCAATCCTGGCAATCCTAATCTGTTCTCTATAATTCTGTAATCTCTTGAAATTGGCATTTATTTCACTCAGCCTAGGGAGCTCTGGTGATGTAGTGCCCAAGGGATTTGACTGCTAACCAGAAGGCTGGCAGTTTAAACCCACCAGCCACTCCTCGAGAGGAAGATTGAGTGATTTACTTCCATAGAGATACCACTTCAAAAACCCAAGGAAGGGTCTCTGTGAGTCAGATTCAATTCAATGGCAGTGGGTTAAGTTTAAGTTAATTTCCTGTAGATTCATCCATGTTGTTATGCCTATCAGTAATTTGTTCCTTTTGATTGCTTAGTAGTATTCCACGGCACAGATGTGCCACTGTTTAACAAAGCATGTCCTGAATGGCATCTGGGTCATTTTCAGTTTCGATGTATCATGAGTAAAGCTGTTACACCTACTCCTTATTCATTCTTACCCAACTATCTTGTTATCCAACACTATAGTCGTGACCAACTTTGAAAAACTCCTCAGGCTGCACCTCTGATAGTCCAGGCTCCACACGGGACTACGGCCAGGCCTGGAAGGCACCCTCCACAGGCCATTCCAGACAATACACTGGAGGTTCCAGCAGCAACCAGGCTACATGAGGGTCAGTGACCAACCGTGGGATGTCTTTTCCTATTCATTCCTGATGGTTAGGTCACGGAGGGTGCAGTCCAACAGCAGGATGATGTGAGGTCACTGGCCAGGAGGGGGAGGCCAGACAACAACCAGCAGGGGCTGAGGTGGTCGGTGGGAAAGGTGGGAAAAAGGAGGTGTACAGAGTTATGGAGACAAGATGGATAAGGGATGAGTGGGGCTTCTGCTGAGGGTGGGCAGTGGGAGGAGGACAAGTAGGGTCCTCACCTACAGCAGGGACCAGGAGGTAGAAAATAACACCAGACGACCATCACCACCACCTCCAAATCCCAGTGGCTCCACATCAGTGAGGAAGGGGAAAGCTGACCCTCTGGCACATCCTGAGAGGCACCAGGGGTGCCTAATGAGGGGGTAGGGGAAACGTTATCAGTGCTGAAGACAGGGCATGGACAACTCTTCACATAAATGTCAATTTCACATAACGACCTATTCTTTGGGACCTAAATGTGTCGTTAAGGGAAAGGTAGGTGTATAATCACTTGTGTACAAGATTTTGTGTGAGTGTAAGTTCTCATTTCTCTGGGATAAATGACCTACAGTAAAATTACTGGGTCATTATAGTAAGCTGCATATTTAAGTTTTAAAAAAAAACACCAAAGTTTTCCAGATTGGCTGTATCATCTTACATTCTCACCAGCAATGAATGAACGATCAAATTTCTCTAAATCCTCAACATCACATATAACTGTCCCTACTTTTTAATTTTAGTTATTCTGATACATATACAGTGACAGCTCCTTGTGGCTTTGTGTTTCCCTAATGATACTGAACATCTTTTTATGTGCTTATTTACTATCAGTGTATCCTCTTTGGTGACTCTCCAAGTTTTTGCCTATTTTAGAACTGGACTTGTTTTTCAATTGTTGTATTTTGAGAATTCTTTATATATATACAATACAAGCCAAGTCCTTTGTAAGATATATGGTTTCCAAGTATTTTCTCCTACTCTGTACCTCCAATTTTCATCTTTTTCACAGCATCTTTCTCAATGCCAGAGTTTAATTTTAACGAAGTACAATTAATCATTTTTTTTTTTTCATTTATGCATTGTCCTTTTGCTTTCAAGGTGAATTCTGTGCCAAGTCTCAGACACCAAAATATTCTCTTACTTTTTTCCTAGAATTATTAGCAGTTTTGTTTTTTAAATTTAAGTCTGTGACCAATTTTAAGTTAATTTTGAATAAGATATGACACTTAACTCAAGGTTCATGTTTTTGTTGCTAGATATTCAATTACTCCAGCACAATTTGTTGGAAAAGGTATCTTTCTCCCAATGAAGTGCTTCTGCAACTTTGTCAAAAACCAATAGGCTTACAATGAAACCATGTGCAGTGAAAGCAAAAATAAATTGGACTTTATCAAACTTAAAAACTTCTGTGTATCAGAAGACTTTATCACTAAAGTAAAGAGAAAATATACAGAATGAGAGAAAATATTTGCCAGGTGATAAAGGTTTAAAATACAGAACATATTTACGAAAACTGTTGTATCATACACATACAGGATTCTCAAAATTTAACAACTGAAAAACAAAAAATCCAGTTATAAAATGGGCAAAGACTTGGAAAGGCATTTCACCAAAGAGGACCTACTGACAGTAGCTGTTGTAACTCAACAACAAAAAGAAAATAATCCAATTACAAAATAAGTGAAGAACTTGGATATATATAAATGTCAAGAAGCACAAGAAAAGATCCTCAACATTATTAATCACTAAGAAATTGCACATCAAAATCAAATTGAGATACCACTTCATACCTACTAGGATGGCTATTATCAAAAAATAGAAAAAAGGTGATGGCGAGATACAGGGAAAATGGAACCTTCATGCTTTGCTGCTGAGATTGTAAAATAATGCAGCCACTGTGGAAAAAATTTTCGTGGTTCCTCAAAAAGGTTAAACTAGAATTATCATATGACCCAGTAATTCCACTCCTACGTATAGAAGAGTGGACTCAAGCATATACGAATGTTCACTGCAGTATTATTAATAATGTCCAGAAGGTGGAAACAACCCAAGAGTCCATCAACAAACGAATGGACAAGCAAAATGTAGTATATACATACAATGAAATATTCTTCAAGCTTAAGAGAAATTAACTTCTGATACATGCAACAACATGGATGAATGTTGAAAACATGTTAAATGAAATAAGCCAGACACATAAAGACAAATATAGTATGATCCCAATTTCATGAAATACCTAAAATAGGAAAATACATACAGACAAAAGTTTATTAATAGCTACCAGGATCTAAGGGGTGGGAGTAATAGGGAATTACTGATTAAAGGATACTGAGTTTCTGTTTGGAGTGATGAAAAATTTATGGAGATAGACAGTAGGAATGGCTACACAATACTGTAAATGTGAATAAGGTCAGTGAATGGTTAATACGGCAAATGTTTTGTTATATATATTTTACCACAATAAAAACAAAAATTAGTGGGGCTTATTTGTGTAGGTCTATTTCTGGGTTTTGTTCTATTCTGTTGATCTGTTTATCTCAATAACAATACAACTCTATTTCATTAATGTAGCTACATACTGAGTCTTGAAATCAGGTAGACTGAGGCCTGCCACTTTATTCTTCCTTTTCAAAATTGTTTTAGCTACTTTAGTTATTTTGCCTTTCCATGTAAATTTAGATCAACCTTGTTTATATCTGTAACAAATCATGATGGGAGATAACAATTTTGAGAGACTTTACATCTTTTCTACATTCTACATCTTTTATACATTTTGTCCTCCAATCCATGAACAAGATGTCTTTCCGTTTATTTAGATCTTTTTTGATAACTTTTATTAATGTTATGTACTTCCAGGATACAAGTACTACTTTTTTTTATTATTACTTTTAAGATTGACATCAAATATTTCAATTTTTTGAGTGATTGTAAATGGTATTTGTATTTTTAATTTTGTTCATTGCTACTTTACAGGAATACGATGTCTGTATGCTTATCTTATATCCCCTGACCTTGCTG